TCAAGTAGCATTCCACACACAAACAAGTGCATACTTACTCTCAAATAGTCACACATCGTAAATAGCCTCCAGCTGTCTATTGAGATCAGATTTTGCCACCAAATGAGTGTGATGAAAAACATCCAATTTCAGAGTCTTGGATTTGGGAATAAAGAATTGCGGCCTTCTATATGAATTTATTTTCAGGAGAAGCTTCCCTCTGTTGAGACCCACCATCACCAGGCTGCTTGGGACAGAAGCTGACCAGGAAGTCAGAGAGTCCGGAAGCTGCCCTGTCTCCTAAAGGCAGTTGACTCAGAGCTGCAGTGTGATGTGCATGCATATAGGGAGGAGAGATGCCTTCTTGCCCAGGGACCAGATATGGGCTGGGCGCTGGAGCATCTGTAGGAGTTTGCCAAGAAGAAGAGCAAGAGAGGGCCTAGACCATAGTATATGGGGAATGATAGTAGATCCCTTCTCAGAAAATAAGTGAATAAAATAAAATGAATAGGATTACCAGGGAAACCAATTATATGGAAATGCAGTTAGCATATTTTAATAGTGATATATTCATATATGTGCTTCTTCATGAATGTATTAAACAGGCAAGCCCAGTATTGGGTCTAACTAGTACCATAATTTCAGAGTAAAAATGAATATAAATAGTATTTCAAGATATCCGCTGTACTGTAATATGATGTGAAGACACTGGTGATCTCTGTTGGAGACAAAGTCGCAGGTCCTGTTAATAGACTGAGGCTATTTGCCTACATTTCACATGGAGAGAAATGCTACATCCCACTTAGGGGTTAGAGAAAATAATGATGCAGTGTTTCCCTCAAGTGTTCACAGACCCCTGACTTCTACCCGCAGACCCCAGGCAGCAGACTAAGAACCCCTGGACTAGTCAGAGATAGCCACCTGGGAATGGGCTCAGGCAGGACTATGCGTAGGCGGTGTTCCAGGTGAGCTGGCATGCAGCAGGCAGTGGCGTGGTGGGAGAAAGGGCTGTAAAGGGAGGATTTTGAGGAGATCAAATTCACTTGAATTTTACTTGCTCATCAGAAGAAACACTTTTATGATAGCATTGTACTTCTTATACTATGTTATAAAAAGAATACATGCTCATTATCGAAATTCGACACAAAAAGAAGGGAGGAAAACCACTCCGTGTTCCAGTGGCGAAGGCAGGCTCTTTGAGTGCCCCAATGAACGCATCACCATTCGTGGCAGGCAGCTGCGTGGCGTGGTGGTGAGGGAGTTGGTTTCTGGCATTAAGAGGTAGACTCCAACTCAAAAAAAAAAAAAAAAAAGAGGTTGGGCTCTTGCATCTTGACTCTGCTCTTCAATTTTTCTGTATTGTTTTTGCATCTGTAAAACGAGAATGACAGTAATAGTACCTATTTCATCAGGCTGTTTTGGGAATTAAGTCAGTCAGTTCCTGCAAAGGGCTTCAGATAGGCTGTAATTAATACTTGGTAAATGTTGTCTTTAATAACATCTAATCATTCCTCAATGTATAACTGTTCTCTGTGTTTGCTTAGTTGTAGCCTTCATATAGATATGTGTATAATTTTATATCCTGCTTCTTTCTCTTAATATTATTACATAAATATTTTTAATTCTATTATAAACTGTTCATAAGCATTTTAAATGCCTAAATAATATTCCATTTGGGCATATGACCCACACTTTATATAGCTATTCCTGTATGATTTGACATTTAGTTTATTTCCAGTTTCCCATGGAAGGCGTTGAGAGGCTCCAGTGTTGGTTCAACAACTATTTATTGGGCATATAACTCTGAGCCCAGCCTTGTTCTGAGTATGGAGGATGCAGAGGTGAATAAGACAAGCTACCTGCTTTAGAGGAGTACCTAGACCTATTTGCCTCACAGTTGGGAGAGTGGATTGGAAGTGAAAATCCTGGAGACAGAGAGATCCTTTAGGAGGGCAGGTCATGAGGAGGGGCTGGCCTGGCATGGCAGCAGTGGGAGTAGGTAGGAGGAGATGGCAAGGAGTCAACAGGTCCAATGGCCAGAGTCTGGTCCCTTGATTGGTATAGCAAGTAAATGAATTTAATGAGGGAAGGCAAGAAAGAGTCAAGGGTAATGGTGACTTTGAGCTTGAGGTGCTAAGGGAGTACAGTAGACTGGTTAGGAATACTGGTTTTGGTACCAGATGGATTTCCAATTTCAAGGTCAGTTCTACCTTGTATTACCTGCGTGATCTTGAACAAGTTACTTGAAGTCTAAGCCTCAGTTTCTCCATCTGTAAAGTAGGGATAAAAATGAATCTTCTTCATGGAAGTGTGACGATCAAATCAGATTATGAAAAATATATAGCAAATCTGATGTAGTGGGGATAATAACATGTGTAGCATGTTAGGTACCATTCTAAGTACTTTTGTATGTATTGACTCACTTTAATTCTCACAACCACCCTATGAGAGAAATGCTATTAATATCTCAGTTTTATAGGTGAGAACACAGGCCAAGAACTTCGGTAACATGCTCAAGGTTTCACAGCTAGTAAGTGACAGAGCTGAGACTCAAACCCAGGCAGTCTTGCCTCAGAACTCAAGCTCTTAATGACTGTGACTCACCCATGCTGAGTGCGAGATGCCGGAGGGAAGACCCTGTGGCGACATCCAGCAGGTGGTTGGAACTTGATTGTGTAGCCCAGGACACAGGTCAGAGTCTAGGGCCACCTGGGCAGAGATGAGGGTGGAGGCCACAGGCAAGGCTGACCTTGCCCAGGGAGAGCGAGGCTTGGGTAAAGTCTGAATTTGGCAGGTGGGAGGAGTCAGCAAAGACTGACTGGAGAACTGGATGAGAATCAGGACTGGCCAGTGTTATGAAGTTCAAAAGAACAGTGCAATCAGCAAACATCAAATGCTGCCAAAAGAGGACAGTCTGAGACTGGGTAACAGGTCACGGTGACCTTGGAGAAGGCGATGCAATAGAGAGAGGTGGGCAGGGTCATCACCGCAAGGGGTTGAACAGGGTGGGGTGGAGGAGTAACTGGCTTCAGGGAGCAGTGGAGGCGGAATAGCTGGCTATGAGAGAGTGGCATGAACCCTACGGTGGGGGCGGGGTGGGGGGGGATCAGGAGACTTGGAACTAGGGGCCAGTTCTGGCCTTGATGGGTCCTGTGCCCTCAGGAGAGGCACTGAACTTCTCTAGGGCGCAGTGCCTTTATTGGTAAAATCAGGAGATGAAATACCCCTCTTCCCGCGCCCTGAGGCTGTTGGAGGGATTTGATGGGCTGATGAGCTTAAAGCACCTAGCAGGCTGAGAGAGTTCAGCAGGCTGAGATCCAGAGCTAAAGCCTGATTGGCACTGCTTCTGCTGCTGGGGATGGCTCTGACCGTTCCGATGAGTCCTCCTCAGGTATACCCAGCCTACAGCCTCTCAGTCAGCTGAGAGTTCAGATATTGTGGGACCCCTACCCGAGCCATAGGCTAAGAGAAGACCCCCCCCCCCCCAGATCTCTAGTCCATACGGTAAATTGCAGTGCTTGGGATTTGAACACTGGTGTTCTACCTTGCCATCTGTGCCCTGTTCAGGTGCTCACCTGGCTGTGTTGGCCAAGGGTTAGAACTCTAACCTACAAGAAAGAGCCTTCAGGTTGCAGGTGTGTCTTTGCAGCTGACTCAATAAGAAACCTCGTGCTGATTCCTTAAACTCAGTATCCTGGCCCAAGAAACAGCCCTGCCTGACTCCTAATGGGAGTTGGAGGAAGGTGTGTGTAGAGTTAAGCATTGAGTTTTGCAAACAAGGGTACACTAGGGAACTGGGCTGCGTGTCCTGAGGATGGATCCTTCTCTGATGCCACAGTGTGTTTACTGACAGTTAGCTCATGTTCTCTCTCCCTGGGATTCCCTTTTCTCCTGTCCTTCCTTTCTCAGTCTCTAGCATTTGAATCTCTTAGATTCTTTCCTCTTCTTCTGACCACACAACCCATTCGTTCATACATTCACTTAGCAAATATGAACTGAGCACCCACTGTCTAGAAAGCACCATGCTGGACATGGAGGAGACGAGAAGTGGGGATTTTGAGATTCATGTGGCTCTGTTCCTGCCCTTCAGAGGCTTGAAATCCAGGGAGAGGAGAACTCTAAACAACACACTGAAATAGACACAAGTGTCTTAGAGCAGAGGCCCAAACCCGGAGCCTTGGGAACCCCAGACAGAGTTAATTCCACCTGAAGGAGTCTAGGAAGATCTAAGGAGAAGATGTTGCAAAAAGACACTCCTGGACCGGAGAGTGAGTGTCCAGAGTTAAGAAGGGAAGTGTGCCTTTCCGCTGAGGAGGTTCACAATTCCAGCCACACAGTTGCGACAGGACCTGACACCCCAGAAAGGGAATGTGCCAGACTTCAGGTCAAAATGGACGTGGGGGCATTGACAGACTCATCTCTGCCTCTCCTTCTTTCTCTCTGTCCCCCATTTTCTCTTTCCTCCCCTTTATTTTGACTTCAGATGCATCTACTTTCTTCCTTTCTGTCTGTATCATCCTCACCCTCCTTGTTCCTCTGCCTTTCTTCTTCTCAGACTTCTATTTGGGGGGATGCAGAGATGGTACACTAGGCAGCCCTCCTGTGAGCTGTACCCTCAGCCCCTGCAGCAGCCACGCCTAGGATCCCCCACCCCTGCGGGCAGGCTGGGCCAGGAGAGGGGCTGGAATCTGTGGGTTTCCTCCATCAGCCTCCGTCCTTCGCTGACAGCCCAGACAATTTATGCACCCTGTTGGCTGTGGCCGTATGTTGTCATAACCTGGGTCATTTCCTCATTTAATACTGTCCATAAACTCCAATAAAACTGTCCTGGAGCCTAGTAGTCAGGGGAGAAGGAGAGACACTGGGTTTGGAAGGGTTGGAGAGGGACTGGGGAGGAGGTGGGCAGGAGGTGAGAGGGCAGCGGGTGAGGACGAGAGGACTCAGCCCGCTTTCTGGCAGCCGGCCCAAGTCTGACCTGATGAATACCTTGCTTCCTTTTTTGCCCCTGCCGCTGACTGCAGTGTGTCAGATCCTCCCCAAGGGGGTGGTCGCCGTCCTGGGACCCTCGTCCAGCCCGGCCTCGAGCTCCATCATCAGCAACATCTGTGGAGAGAAGGAGGTGAGTGCTGGGCCCGGTAGGGGAACATCTGTGGGTTGGAGCCTGTGCCCCAGGCCCAAAGATAGCATTGATTTTTTTTTTTTTGAGTTGGAATCTCACTCTGTCACCCAAGCTGAAGGGCAGTGGCATACCTCTCAGCCACTGCAGCCTCAACCCTCTGGGCTCTGGCGATCCTTCTGCCTCAGCCTTCCAAGTAACCAGAACTGCAGGCGCGTGCTACCACGCCCAGCTAAGTTTTGATTTATTGTAGAGACAAGGTCTCGCCAAGTTGCCAGGGCTGGTCTTGAACCCATGGGCTCCACTCGCCTTGGCCTCCTAAAGTGCTGGGATTACAGGCTGAGCCACCGAGTCCGGCTGTGTTGATTCTTAAGGGCTCCAAATGCTTAAGCGCTCTGTCAAGTCTGGGTTGGTGCTATTAAAAACAACATCCATACAAATACAAGTTCCAGGTTGTTTGCATAGAGGGTTTTGGAGGAGGTGGTTGACAGCTGGAATTTCTAGTTGAGCCCCTTTGAGTCTTAGGGCCCTATGGTGGTGTCTTCAGCGGCCTCTTGGTGGTGGTGGGTAGAGGGAGAGGCCGGAGGAGGTGGTAGCAGGGGTGGCCAAGAAGGCAGAAGTCTGAGCATCCATGCTCGTGTCCACATGAGCAGCTCTGTGGTTATTTGTTTATATGTTGGGATTCTGGGGATGAATGCCTTTGGGGGGAGGCATTGCTGTATTTTATTGCTAAAATAAAGTTTGAAAGCCTCTGTTTTATAAGTTCTCTTGGAAAGAGGTTTTATTTTGCTTTCTTCCTCATTCAACAGTTCCAGTGTTTACTTCTTCAGTATATTCTTCCTCAGATGTAACTCTAGCTGCAGTATGTCTTGTTACAGAGTGTTGAGTACATTTCCTCTTGTTGTAGTTTCATGAGAGAAAAGGAATGGCAGGGGACAAGTCTCAGAGTGACCGCTCCCCTCTCCATTCTGTCAACTCCCCCCCCTCCTTTTTCCCTGGAGAGGACAAATGGAACTTCAGAGATTCTGTCTATTGCTGGCATCTTTCCGAGTCCTTCCTGGAATCCATCATTCCCTCCCTGTCACATGTATCCCCAGAGATGGTGGGAAGGTGTCCCCTTGGCCCTCCTCTGCCCCAAGGGCATTCTTGCCAGGAGCTTGGTGGTGAGGCTTGAGGTCAGGAGCTGGGTGGAAACAGGGGCTAGGGAAGGGACAAGGGAGGAAAGATCAATCTTGCTCCTTCTCTAGAGACCTGGAGGCTCAGCCTTCCAGAAGCTTTAGTCTTCAGTCTTTAGTAACAGGATGGGGTGCCCACTGCAAGAGGGCCTAGACTCCTCCTCAGCAAGCTGCCCCAGCTGAGGCAGGAGCAGCAGTCAGGCTTCTGTCCACTCCCCGCCTGCTCAGACCCTACCTCCTTGATGCCACGACTGTCTCTTTTTTTTTTTGAGTTGGAGTCTCACTTTGTCGCCCAGGCTAGAGTGCAGTGGCACGCTCACAGTCACCCTGGCATCAACCCGCTGGGCTCAGGCTATACCCTCACCTTGGCCTCCCAAAGTGCTGGGATTACAGGCTTGAGCTGCTGTGCCCGGCCACGACTGTCTCTTATGATTGGAGGGCTTGGTGAGTTCCTGAGGTGCTGGGAAAAATATTGTTCTTACCTATTTTATGAGCCCACTCTCAGAATTATCTGCACATTCAAGTGCCATGCTTCTAGCTTACTCCTTCAGTAAGCCAGGACACTTCTGGTAGGTACAGCCCCTGCAGGGGTCCTCAAACTTTTAAAACAGGGGGCCAGTTCACTGTCCCTCAGACCATTGGAGGGGCAGACTATAGTTTAAAAAA